TAGATGAAGGATTTAAAGAAATATGAGATATAAATGTTAATTTTTCAGTATAATTGCTAGATAGAATTTATATTTCAATTATATAGTTAGTTAAGTTTGTTATTAATAGGTGAGTTCTGTTATAAAAAACTATTCAGAAGCAATATTTTTAAGTAATATTATTGAATAGTTTATGTTTACATTAAGTTTTACAAGTAGTAATCTATTAGGGCTAAGGGTATTTAGGAATTCAACTAGATAAATATTATTATTATTGTCAGTACCTTTTTCTACTATAGCACTATCAGCACTAATATAAGTATATTGGTCTCCAAGGAGTAAGTTGAGAATTGTTTGATTAATGTTATAAATATCTTGGTTTTAAGAAGATAGAATTGTTTATTTACTAAAATATTTATTGTTATATATTCTTATTACATTAATATTTAGATATATAAAGTCTATAAATGATTCTAAATTTTAATGTAGTGTTGTTATATAATTGAGAAATATTTTTTTTTTTTTTTTTATTTTACAAGTGACCTCTTTTAACTAATATGCAATCTTAGGACTAATTTATCCTCGAGATATACTTGACTAAGACTTTATAACCCGTATTTATACTATCCTAGGTTTTGTTATACTACGATTTATCTATTTAAGGTTCTTACTACATTCCTCGCATCTCCCATGCTTACACAAAGCTACTTCCCAATAGGTAGTCATCCATTACAGATATTTCAACAACGTGATCCTCATGGTCACTTTCTGATTAGATATTCTGGCTTAAAAGCATCTGTTATCAATATTTACACAATGCTAAGATATGAAAGCACTTACATTATATCGAGTTGTGTTCACATGCTGTGTTTATACACCTTTTTGAGAACTCCTGTGTTTTGGTAAGTACAGACTATATTTCGTAATCTGAAGATTACTCCTAACTAGATTTGTAATACATAGTACTACTTCTAGCTTTCTTCAGAAGAAGTTAGTATTTAATATTAGTATACCCTTGTGTACTTTGTCGTATTGCTACTACTAGCCCAGTGCTTCTAGCCATTTCAGATTATTACATATCCTCAGCATATAAATCACTTACTCTGCAGCAGGAACCTACCCTTTTAAGTTTTTGTGTTTGCCAGAGGTGTTCTGTATTTAGTAAAGCTAATATCTTATTACTTAATTGTATCCTGTGTAATCCCCGCTTCTCTCACTACTCAGTTAGTTATTATGTAACCCTCCCAAACAATTCCGTTACACCATATAATAATGTTAGTTCCTGCTATACTCTTGCCAATATGAACTTACTTTTTCATGCTACTGTATTACCAACTTCTGTGACACCGACTATTACACATAGTGCCACCTCTCCACAAGATAGAGCCACTTCTAATAATTCCTTTTCTGAATATCATACTTCACTTGGACTTCTTACAGGGCTTCATATTCGACCATTGACTTCTTAAATAAGGTTACAGAGTATTTTTTGCCTCCAGTCTGTCTTGAACCGTTGACCTTGTCTGTGAAGAGTTGGTAGCTTAACCACTAAGCTATGGGTACCAGACCCCATAATTGAGAGGTATTAGTTTGTTATCTATAGTATTTGTACTATTTCTAATCTAAAAAGTTAATAGTATTAAGTTAAACATATAAGTATAAAAAGTTAATATTAGGAATTTGAACAATTTTATAAGAAATATTTTTTTAAGATATAATTGTTCTTAAATTTTAAAATATAATTTTGTAAAAAAGATATTTTATTTAGTTTTATTAAGTAATTGTTTTTACAAATTATAGGTATTTAATTTTGAAGTAATGTTTTAGAAGAAAATGAGAATATAAACTTTTTATATTGAATGAGATATTTATAGTACTTGCCTCTAATAACCAGTATGCAAAGATCTTATTTTCTTCTGAGTTTACATTAAAATATATAATTTTTTTAATATAAATACTTTAATATATTTCTATAAGTAAGATTTTCTAAATAAAGCAGCTATAGTTTTTTCTCTAGATCCTTTTTTAATAACTAGTAACATTTGTGAAAGTCATCTCCAAATACAAATATGATTCTACTAAATAAACAATTATTATTATGAATATCTTTTAGAGAAGGTCAACTGTTTCAATATAGTAATAGTATTGAATAGGTATTTCATTCTAGATAATGAGTAATATTTAGTATAATAGGTTAGCATCTTCTGAGTTTTTATTAAACAAGCAAATTGATATTTCATTTAAATTTAGAGAGATTTTGAATCTTGAGTAAGTAGTATAACTGAGACTAAATAGAAGAGATGCAATTTCTGAGAATATGATATAAAGAACAATTTTTTCTTGAATACAAATTTTTATTGCAATAGTGTTATATGTGAATGTTTTGTCTATACTTGCAAAACTATTAATAAAGAATAATTTTGTCTACTAATTATTTATTGAATTAATAATATTATTATAAGCAAGTGATTTTTTATTATTTAGTTGTGAAATTCAATTATTAACTATATTTTTATGTTCTTAGAGATTAAACACTAATTGTTCTGCAATTAAATAGTTTTTATTAGAATATTTTTAATCATATTTCCACAAAGGCATTTCTAGAAACATATTGAGTAATTAGCAGATTGATAAAGAATTTTGTTTATAAGATAAAGCCTAAAGTTAAAAATTTAATCATTAGTAGATTTATTAATTGCAAATTTTTTTTGCAGTTTATACAAAAGATCATTACAAATATTAGTATGAAAATGTAAACATAAATTTTAGGGTAAGTAGATGTGTATTATGTGAGCAATATAGTAAAGAGAGTTCTTAACTGAGAGTCTATATATAAAACAGAGACTTTCTCAAGACATTGTGTCTATTTACTAGTAGTTCTAGAGCTAAGCATACATTTTTAAATATTAGATAAATTGTATTATTTATTGTTTTTAGATAGTTGAATGATTGTGGACTATATATTGTAGTAAGAAAAAGTTAAAGGTAGTAATATTCACCTACAGAAGAATTGGTAAAGTATATTCTTCCTATAGCAAATCCTTGTTTTTGAGATATCTATTTTTTAGTTATTTTGTTCTAAACAAAATGTTGTAAAAATTCTTAGTATATATATTGTCTTGCAAAATTAAAAGTTTTACATATTTCAAAAAAAGCAGTAAATATAGTTTTTTGGTATTTGGTATGAGAGAGAATAGTAGAAGTATTGTTATTGAAATTAAAAATTACTTGATATATTCTAGGAAGATGCAGTGCTAATCTTACAACATTTGGAATTTCTTTATGTAGGTTAAAACTTAAAAGGCACTATATAACTTCAGAAGTATTAATGTATCTTGTATTAATATATTATTTGATTTTATTTAGTTAATATTCAAATTGCATTGTTATTCTGTTATAGCTTTTATATATATATTTATGAATATATTTAACTGCATGAACAAAAGTTTTACATGTTTTAAAAAAAGCAGTAAATATAGTTTTTTAGTGTTTGGTGTAAGAGAGAATAGTAGAAGTATTGTCATTAGGATTAAAGATTACTTAATATATTTTAGGAAAATATAGTGCTAATCTTATAACATTTGGAATTTCTTCATGTAGATTAAAACTTAAAAGGCACTATATAGCTTCAGAAGTATCAATGTATCTTGCATCAATGTATTGTTTGATTTTATTTGGTTTACATCCAAATTGCATTATTATTCTGTCATAGCTTTTATATATATATTTATGAATATATCTAACTGTATGAACAGAAGCATATATTTCAATAATGATATAGCAATTAACATTCTACTAAGATAAGAATTATAAAGTATAATATCTCTGTTATCAATAATTTGACCAGAAATTTCAAAAATTTGACTATTATTTTTTCCTGCATATAAAGAATAACTATCTGTTTCTATTGAAGTTCTATCACAAATTAATTTAGAGTAGTTTTTTTTATATTTATTATTTATTATATATAGAGTATATAGATTACAAGGGTCACAGAGATCATGAACTATATATCTTGAGATAATATCAAAAAGTTCTGAATCAGTTTTTTTATCTAGAAATTCTGCATATATTACATAGTCAATGTCAGCAGATGCTTTATTTTATTATTTAGAAATATCAAAAAATGCATATGTAGAAGACCATATTTTTAGAATTTAATTATGTAGATATGTGTAATAGCTTTACTAAAAATATAATTATTTTTAATATCATAAAGAAGTACATGATGTTTTAATTCAAATACATGTGTAACTAAATCTAGATGATCTGCAGATGTTTGATCTAAAAATAATTTATTTGTTATTTCTGACTAGTTTGGGTTCACAGTTATTATTCCAAATATATCAGAGTAGCCATAGAATCTAGTAATTGCTATAGAGTCTTGAAATAGTTTAAACATTTGCTAAGCACTTCTAATATATGTTGAGAGTAAAATTATTCTTCATCTAAGATTGTTAGTAAATATTTCATTATTTGTATTTTCTCTAATTACATCAGTAATATCTTAATAAATATCTGCATATAGTTTGTCTTAGTTTCTATATAGATATCTTAGTCTGTTTTGTTTAGTTGTAGCCCACACATCAACTACAAATTTTTGAAATAATTTACACTATAAAAAATCATAAAAAATTCTTTATTTTGTGGAAATAGATAAAAGAAATAATAATCTATTTGAGTAAGTCAAGTTGAACTATTTTGGTTTATTTGTAAATTTATTTGTATATGATATAGTTCAGAATGCTATTTAGGTTCTCTACAAGAAAAAAATAATATATAATATAGAGGTAAATATACAGAGTGCTTTTCATAAATTTGTTAATGTAGACTTTCTCGAAGATGAAAAATAATATCACATGATGATTTAGATAATAATCTATCTTCAAATAAAATAATTGCTATTTCATTTGATGTTAGTAGGTTATATTTATATTTGTCTATAGATTTATTGAAATAGAGATAAACTTTTAAGCTTAAATTATTTATATTAGTTTGATGACCTTGTAATAATATTTTATATGCTTGCAGATACAAAGGATAAAATATGTGGTAGTTGTGTAAGAGTTTTTGTAATTCTAATATTATTTGTAGTAATAAATTTTTATTATGTTTCATCTTAAAATTATGAGCAGTATCAGAATTATGAATATATAATTGTATATATATTGCTTTAGTATTTTAATTAGGAAGAAAAGCTCCTATACAATAATATAATGAACTATTAATATAAAAACTATATAGTTCTTAACTGTTAAGAACTAAATAGTCAATATTTGTATCAAGTGAAGTAAATGAATGAGCTGAATTGTACTACTAGATATTAGACTAGAATTCTTTTGAATGTTCATCTTGGTCTTGAAAAAGGTTATTTAGAAGACATAGCAGAATTTGAAGATATAGTAACATTATTTTACTATATAAGCAATATATACTAAACTTTGAATTGTGTTTAGAGAAAGAAAATATATGTTCATCAATTCAATATAGTGCTTTACAATGAGTACATTAAATATTTATATAACTAAGATCATATCAATTATTAATATATTGTGATAAATTAGGAGTGAATAGGATATTATAAGATTGAGATATTGATAAAAATTCTGATTTAAAATATTTGTAAATTCTTCTTTTTTGTTGCACTTTTGATGCATGAGTTTGTATTTTTGCTAATATTTATAGACTATTTTTTCTTTAAACATTTTTTATTAATAAATTTGATATTACCTATTTCTTGCTTTTAGTTATTTTTTTTTTTTTTTTTTTTTTTTTTTTTTTTTTTTTTATTAATAATGTTATAGTCAAAACTTTATTTTAAAAAAAGTTAAAACATAAGTTCTATGTTAAAGATTTCAAAACTATATTTGTATTACATAAATTTAACTTTTAGTTAAACAAGATACCTAATATAACATTACACTCTCTATGTCCTATATAAATACTATATTTAACTATTTCAAATTAAATTTTAGTTTAGAATAGGTTAGAAGAGACCTAAGGTATTAATCATAATATTATAAAGTTGAAGTTAATAGAAAAGAGCCTTATAAGAACTATTTTTAAATTTTGAGTTCAAAGTTATTTGTTTGATTTGATATGATATTTGTATTTGGAATTAGTAGAGTTGTTTGATAGAAAAATTTAATATATTTGGTTTTAGAAATAATATTTCAAGCTAGTTCCTATTTGTGTTGATATTGATTTCATAGAGACCAAATATCTTAGTAGAACCAGTTTAGAAAGTTATTTGATAAGTTGATTAGAAGTAGTTCTGTTTGTTTTTGAACTAAAGCTTTAATATTAGTAATTGTTGTAAGTATAAAGGTTCTAGAAATTGCAAAAAGAATGTGATTATATTGGGGATTTGAAGAGTTTAAAGTGAAGTGTAAGAGAATATTTAGAAAATTTGAAGTAGTAATTGTTATAATTTTGAGTGAAGTTAGTGAATTGTTAATAATATTAATAAGTGATTGATGAATATTAGAGTTATTTTTCTTGCAGATAAAAATGTATAAGGTGTTTTTAGTATTTAAATATTGTATACAGTTTAATATAGTGTATAGATAAGGATAGTGAATATTAAGATTTTGCATAGTAAGTAAGTTATTTGTTAAAATTTTAATATAAAAGAAGTATTTTAGAGAATTGTTTTTTAAAGAATTTAAGATTTTAAACATTAGAGCCCATTTGATGTCAATAATACTATTAAAGAATTTGAGTATAGACCAAGTAGAGAGTTCTTGTATTATAATAGTATTTTTGATAAAAGTTCAGATTTTTATTAGTATTAGAAAGTTATTCTAGTTAAAATATATAGGATAGTTAAAGAGAAGAGGTAAAAATTCAATTATTAGTTTGGCAGTATCTTGTTTTGCTAATAAATTAGCTTGATTATGAAAAGAAATATTAGAATAATATTTGACTTTAATAAGTTTAATTAAGATATTTTTGTTTTCTTTGAGAGAATTATAATTTGTAAAATATCTTAGTTTTTGTTTTAAATAAGTTTATGAGAAGAAAAGGATATTAGATTTTTAATTGCTATGATATTATTTAAGTATATAGTAATTATAGAATTGTTTGGTATAGTGAGAAGTAGAGTAATAATTGAAGCTAGTTCAATATGAGTAGTATTAGAATAAAGAAAGATAGCTATATTAAACTTGATTGAATTACTATTTTTGCAAATCTATCCTATAATAGCTTTAATATTTGGTGTTTGTAGATTTTTAATAGAAGTATCTATATAAAATTCTAAGTTATTAGGATATAAGTTTTTAATAAGAAAATGAAAATTAGTTAATTGATTTTGGTAAAAAGTTAAATTAGTAGTTTGTTATATAATTTAAACTTCAGATAAAGCAAGATTAATATGTAGTATCAATTGGAGTAAGAGAGGAGATTGAGTAGTTGTAGATATATAAATTAGTGCTAAAGTTTCCTTATATTTTATTTGAATTAAAGATAGATTATTAAATTTTTTAATTTGATTATAAAGAAGGTTAAAAGAAGAGAGATTAGAAGATAGTAAAGAAGGAATTAGTATTAAGGAAGTTTGGTCAGAAGGTAATTTTTTTATATAATAGAAGAGGGTTTTTTGTGAATTATAATATTGAGAGATAAAGATATTTTGATTGTTTTAGTAATAAAGTTAAAATGAAAAGTTATTGTTTGGTAATAGTTGTGTTAGGATTAGGTTTATAGTATTGATAAAAGAGTTTGTTTTGAGTAGATTTAGTTGTAGCCAAATATCTAATATTATATTTAATTATATGTTATTAGAGATTTGTTTAAACCAGTTTGGAGTAGCTTCTTTAGTTAGTTTGTTTGTACAGATATAAATATTATTCTATAGAAGAAAGTAGTTATTATTAGCAGTTGTAATTTGTTTAATAAAAAGAATTTTGTTGTTTTTAAGACTACTAATAGTTAGACTATATAGGTTTGGAAGAAGTATTTCATATATTAGATGTGAGTTTTCTGAAATTGTTGATGGAAAAGTAGAAATTTGAGATAAGTGAGAAAGTGTTATATTATTAAAGACTAGTTGTGAGAGATAGAATATGATAGTATAATTTTGTGTTTTTCAATAGTTTGTAAATAACAAGTTTTAAGTTAGTTTTGAAGACCAGATTTTTGTTAACTATGATTTAATATATAAGATTATGATATTTTTAAGAAGAGAGTTTGAAGTAAAAATTCATTCAGTATTAGAAGCACTAACTTTTTGAATAATATTATTTAGCATTAGAAGATTAAATAAAAGAGAGTTAGTTAAAATAATATTGTTAGTGTTTTTTGTTAGTAAAAGTAATTTTTTGGTTTGAATAGTAAAAAGGCGAGAAAGTTTAGTTTAAATATTTTTATAAATTTGTATAATTTGAAAAAGATATTTAAGTGCAGGTTGAAGTATGAGGTTAAATAAAGAGGTAATTTGTGATAGAGTAAGTTTTTTATATTTGATAAGAGAGAAGAAATTTTTAATTTTGTTAAAAATAGTTTTAGATATTAGTTTAGAGGTATCACTTCTATCATAAAAAATACCAAGATATCATATAGTTTCTTTAGGTTTTCTAGATGTGATAGTTTGATTATTGTAATAAAGTATATTAGATATTAGTAGTTTAGAAATTTTGAATTTAGATTGGATGTGTAAGAGATCAGATTTGGAAGAGTTAATTGTTATATTATTAAGATTATATAATTTTGAAGTATTATAAAGAATAATTTGCATAGTTTCTAATTTTTTACAATACTATACAGTATTATCTATATATGCTAGTAGTAGAATTGTTAAAGCAAATAAGGAAGAGTTTGAAATAATATCAAGTAGTGATTGTGTTGAAATTTTTAGAAGTTGATTTTGATATTTTTGTGAAATAAAAGTAAGAATAGGATCATAATAAATTTTCCAAAGTAAGAGAGAATAAGTTTCTTTTTATTCAATACCAAAATTAATATTAACAGGAGCAATAAGGCTATAAGATATAATAATTTTTGCTAAGTGAGAAGTATATAGCTTTGTAATGAAGTTGATGTCTTTTTCAGAAATACTAATTTTTCTGCATATTTCCTGTAGTTAGTTGATATTGATCTTATCAAAGGCTTTAGATATATCTTGAAAAAGAATAAAAGCTTCCTTGTTATATAGTATATAATATTCAATTGTATTATGAAGAATTTGAATTTGTATATGTGTGGATAAATTTTTTAAAGCTGCAAAATTTAAATTTGAGAGAAGATTATTTGATGTAATTATTTTATCTAAACGTTTAGTAAAGATTTTAGTAAGAGTCTTTTTGAATAGTTCAATAATTAAAATAGGTCGAACTTGGTCAAGAGTAAAGTTCCAATTTGATTTTTTTGAAATTAAAAAAATATTTGAGGATTTTCATTCTGTTGAGACTTTTTGGAGTTAGAAGTATTTATTAATAAAAAGTTTGAGAGATTTTTGTGCTTTTTGACTAGCATATTTTATATGTTTATAGTAGATTTTAGAAGATCTAACTGTTTTTTGATTTGGTAGATTAGTAATAATTTCATTTCATTCCTGATCTGAGATATCATCAAAGAGATTTTAGTAGTGTATTTTAAGTTCAGGATATGGTTAATAGAGTTGAAAAAATTCTGATAAGAGTAGAATAGGTTGTAATAGTTTTTCCTCAAAATAGCTTAAAAAGTAGTAGTAAACTGTATTTAAGATTTTATTTTGGTTAGTAAGGAGTATGTTATTGAGTAGAAGTTTGTCAATATTTATATTATTATATTTTTCTAGAATGTTTTTATAAAAAAGTTTAGGAGTTTCATTGAAAACTTTGTTTCAGTTTTCAATTTTTTGTTGAATTTCTTTATAAGTAGCTTGTTTTTGTTAGTAGTTAAGAGCAGTTTTGATAAGATGAAATTCATTTTTGATTTGGTCAGATAGTAAAGAGTTAGTTAAAATTTAGTTGTTTGGATATTCAGTTTGGTAGTTATAAAGAAGTATTAAAAAATTTAGAGATAACAGGTGATTTTTGAGATATTGAATTTGTTTGTATCTGTAAAAGAGAAGTATTGTTTAGTAGAAGAGGTGTCATAAACTTCCTTAATAGTTCTTATCTTTTTAAAAGGGATATATTTAGTAGCTACTTTGGTTAAAGCTTTATGAATTTTGTTTTAGATATTGTTGAGTTGGTTTTGGTTTGTTATAGTATCAATTTGAGAAGCTAATTGTTAAAAGCTTTGAGTTGTTTGGTTAGAGTAGTTTTTAAATATTTCTTTAGAGCAATTTTTCTATAAATAACATTTTTTTTTTTTGTTGTTTAGAATGCTTTGATTTGTTGATGATTATAAAGATTTTAATTATTATAATATTATGATTTGAGTTATATATATTATCAGAAGTATTAATAGATATCTTTGTATTGATAGCTTATTAAGTATTTAATAAGTTGAAGTTCTGGTAAAGAGATTTTTTTAGATAGATTTTGATCTAATCATGCATTAGAGACTCTATTAAAA